CCTTCCCTCTCCCCTCTCAACTGTTTACACAGCCAACATTTTTTCCTTATTCATGTTGGCTTCAGTGAACTTACAATTACACCAATATGGTGGAAGCAGAACTTGGCCAGCCCCCAATATTTTTCACCATTAATTAAAATCTTCCTTAATTTGTCTTGTTTGCCTCTATGACAATTTGCCTTTGCCTCATGTAAATCATATGTGAACCATACGAGCTGAAGCAATTTCTTAATTACTTGATTCTTGATGAGGACTCGGTGTGCTTTGTATAATGCACTAATTTAAAAAAAAAGTAATCAGATAATTATAAAATGGAAGGGGGAAAATCTACGCAAAGCTCCAAATATAAAAGACGTCTAATACTTTGATATGATTGAGCTAATTTCCCAAAATGGTAACTAGAAACATTATACCTTAGATGGTACACAGCAGTCATCAGAGGAACTAGTTCCTTTCCACGGATGCATGTTGCAAGTGTTGCAGTTGATATGCAAATACGTATTTTGAACTGAAAGAAAAGAGCTTCTTAGGAAACCAATAGTGTTTTCTACCTAACGGTAAATCATGATAGTCACAATGTGATATAAAGCTAAGGTACATTGAAATGTTCCTTTCCTAGCACCAGACCCACGTTTTGAAACCCCTGTTGTGAAATTAGACAAAGGGGGGTGCCGCTCAGCTCTGGCTGCAGTACTGCTACGGAGTGAGCGTGAGGGGAGCAATGAGATAGGGCCCGGGAGGTTACACGCGCCGCGAGGAAGACAGTGGTCCCGGTGTGGCATGCTGTTCTCTGATGTTGTCTTCTGCTGCCGCTAATCCTGTGGAGCACCGGGTCTGTCATACTAAGCAACCGAAGACACAGGCCCAAATATCAGGGACAAGCAGCAAGCATGCTGCTTCAGCAGGGCACGGGAAGAGGCTGGGTCCATCTCTGGACCAGGGATGTCCACAGGAGGGTCCGTAGGTGAAGGCTTTATTTGACGTAATATGGATGCATTTCCCACAAGGTCACCTCTGTCAGTGTGCAGAGGAGGGGGCAGCAGGATTTGGGAGCAAGGGAAGTCTCCATTGCATGTGACCAAGCATGCCTCAAACAGCAAGGCCTGCTTATCTACCATAGATACCAGAGTGTTCCCGTTATCTTTAAATAGCCCACTGCCTCTTTCACTTTCATAGCAGGGACTAATGTTAGTGAATTACATATTAAAATCCCAGCCTTTCCTTAACATCACCTTGACTTGCAAGCCAGCTTCCTCAAAACTCAGAGCTGCTCAGCTCTAAAGCTTTGACCTGGGCCTCCTTCTGCGTGATTCTCCTGTCATACTCAGGAGAGCTGGAGAAGAAATAACTCTGATTTTAATCACCTTATTTCATGAATAATCAGACAGTTGATTTTTATAATAGTGCCATTGCATTATTTAATTTGACAATGGCCCAGCTGTAAATGTCTGCATTTCTCTTTTTGTATCCCTGACATCTGCCCGAAGAGAGTCTAAAACCTTCTCCTGGATTTTGCTTTTGTCGTGCTTTTCCGAAAAGGCAAACACATTGTGATTCCAGGATTCTATGACAGTTTCATCTTGAAGGCAAGGAAATAAGTAGAAACCAAATTGCTGACAAAACCCAAGTCTGAGGATTGCTGTGTCACCACCCTCGGTAAAACAGAGGCTGTGTCCCTTCCCCAGCTCCATAGAGCTAATCCCATCGTGGATTGGAAGCCACACAACAAAAATGCCGTGCTTCAAGTTCTGCTGGCCTGGACACCTGCCCAGCTTGTCCGTAAGACAGGTTGGCCCAATGCAGGCCGCCAACAAAAGGTCGTACTAACAGGATGGGGCTGATTAAGAAGCAAAAACCAGTCCTGCAGAAAGCCTGCTATTTCTTGTTTCTTTGAAGAAGGAGGGCCGAGTATGACTTCAGCATGAATTATTTTAATTGGCGGTTTTACAGACTTATGCATAGGCATGAAGAAAGCTTCAGCTATTGGAATAGTCTCTTATTTCTAAAGTCTTCTGACTTTTTAAAGACTTAGTGGGAAAGAACATATGAAATTGATATCTTCCAGGAACCACCATTCATTACCATTGTATCTGCATGAATGAATGACAAAAAGTTTTACAAAAGCAGATGAAAGGCTGGCGAATCATTTCCTATGTCATATAGAAACCTGCACATCCATCAGGCAGGATTATCTGGAGGAGGGGCTGGGTTCGCAGGCAGCAGCAGTTAGGAGACTTACGAGCAGGTTCGGCTGCTCTCGGAACAGAGCTGAGATGGGCACTGCACCCTAGACCCCCTTTCCCCTCCATATTTCATACAATGATCTGGGCAGCTTCCAGTACTGTAAAATCCAATGTAATTATTTCAAACAGTAGCTGTATGCAAACAGAGACAGAAATACTTTCCCGTCACGATTTCCTTAGTCAAGTTATATAGAAGTTCTGCAAAGCACATAGCACAAAAAGGCAGAAAATGGGCATAAGCCTGCAGTGATGAGCTGAGAGCAGAGACTCTGAGAGCTCTTCCCATTCTAACCAGAACAGGGTGGTTTAAAACTCATAATACTGTTAAGAGTTAGCACATAGATAAAGGATTCACTCTCACTGCATGCTTTCTATACGATCTATTACTTCCACATAGCTGATTCCAAGGAAATCATAATTCATTTGGCAAGACGTATTTTTTTTACTTTGTTCTTCCTTTTACAGAATCTTTACGGACTTAAAATACCCTCCTTCCTATTTTCCTAAGAAGCTAAGCTGCTGATACTTTCAGGGACCATAGCAATATTAATACTTGTGGTTTGCTTTTTTTTCTGCATGAGTTTTGGGCAATCTGTTTTCACTGCATGGAGCCACCAGATGATCCCTCCTGAGTCCACCTACAATTCTCACCCTTCCAGATCTCTCCCACCCTATTGAAAGACATGAGGTCCCAGCAATGCGTACACACCACGGCATGTCCTTTAGGGCATGAACTTCAGCTGAACTGGGGGCCCTCCAAAGCCCTCTTAAGAGTTGGTCTGGGCAAACAATCCATAGATGCCCTCAAGACTAAACACGTCTGTTCTGGCTTTGCCAGTCTGTGTTACCAGGAGTCATGTCTCCTCTTCAGATGCACCACTGCCTCTCCACGGAAATCAAAGGCATTGCCTCCAAACAGAGAAAAACACAGCCTCCATACAACCAGGCAATGCACAAAAATTGCAGAGAACTAGCAATGCTGTCAGCTTAGGTGCTTGGATGCTCAGTTCTCTGAAAGGAAACAGCTCTTAGTGCCTGGAATTTCTGAGTGGTTTTAAGCAAAAAGCAGGAAAAGAGGTGACACTGAGAAACCGCACGTGTGACTAGATGCTGTGCTTGAAAGAGCTAAAGACTTCTTTAGTAAGGAAGGGGCTGAAGATACATATGTCCCCTAAAGCAGTGCTCCCTAGAGAGTGATGTAATGTCAGGACGTTGTCCAGGCTTTTCTTCACAAGTCCTGCCTTCCAGAGGGAAAGGAGGGTAATCCCTAGAGAGCAATAGGAGAGCACTCATCCAGCTCGTCCTAGGACAGCTATACGTGCCGAAGGAGAGGAGGAGAGAGCCCATGCTGTGCTGAGAAACACAGGCGAGTGTTCATGTTGTGAGCAAGCTCTCTGGGGCGGGAGTTCTCATTCTCCTTTCTCTTTCTCCTCCCTTTTGGTCCACACCATGGTGCACAGTGAGCCAACCCTCAGTGTTTTTCTACAATGCATATAGACTTATTTCTAGACACCTTCTCAAAAAGCTAAGAGAAGAGCTAACAAATGCTGTGGGGAAAACACCATGTCAGGCATTTAAAGTAGTTTTTAAAATAACAGAAATTTACATATTTAAATTGTTTATAAATCTATAAATTATACACTATGTTATATTGTACATCTATTGTATGACAGCTGATGCTTTTGGAAGATGCTTGGAGAGAACTGTTTGTTCTAGGAATAGCACAATGGGCCATTCCAGTTGATGCTAACACTCTACTGGCTGTATCTGGTAAGAATTGCACAATTTAATGACTTTGTTACAAAAATTACCATAAAAATACATTACTGAAAAAAGAACAACATGTAAAGAATAACAAATTCCTACTGAACAATAGAGCATACCTGTCATTTATAAATCTATATTTAAATGCAAATAATGTTGTTTTGTTGTATTCATGACTGCTTGCATTGTCATTTAAATGCAAATTACTGTGTTTGTTATCATCCAAGAGAAGATTTTATATTAACTTTCATACAATATAGTCAGTTTACATGGAACCAGATAGACAAGTGTGACAATAGATTGGATATTGATACAGAGGATTTTGTCAGAAATCAATATAAAATAAAGCAAATGCCTTTAATATTATTTATTTCATCTGTTTCTGTTTTAGGCATGAATGGTGACAATACAGATTCTCAGAAGCTGAATAAAATTATTTCAGAAATACAGGCTTTACAGGAGTGTGTGGCTAGATTTAGACAACTTCGGCTAGATGCTACCGAATTTGCCTGTCTCAAATGCATTGTCACTTTCAAAGCTGGTAAGGAGAAAGAATCTCTTGCTCGTCTGGTCTGATAACTATGAGGTTGCTACTTTAAAGCAAAAACGATGTTTTAAACCAGACATAGCATTTATACCATCCAACAGGTTTCCCAGTATTGAATTCCAATAGTCGGTATTGCATTTTGAAAGGCTGACAGTGGAGTGCTGGGGAACTAATGGGAACGTTTAATTTCCATTGATAGCACTAGCTGAACTGTTTTGACCCACCCAAGAGTCAAGCTGAACTAGTAACTGATCTGCTTTCCAGTGCCTACACACAGTGGTTCCGAACTGAGGAGTTTCCGAAATGCTGCCGCCATAGCAGCCCTTCAAGATGAAGCCCAGCTCACCCTGAACAGCTACATTCATACCAGGTGATCAGGGTCTTCTCTCAATACTTCTTGCAGGTATAGGGGTAAAATCACGCTCCCGCTGTAGCGAAGGTGACATTTCCACTGACTGAAACGGGGACTGGGCTGTTACAGCAAGTATACCTTGGCTGTCAGCCTGCTGGGATTTGGCATTTCCTGATGAAATGAGGAACATGGGATTTATTCAGACAAATTGAAAAGTGGTAAAAGGAGAGATCTTCCCCTGGGAAGTGATACCTGCTGTGGAACACTTTGGATTTCAGAAGGCTACATTTTCCTCTACATTTTATTCAATTAAATACCGCTAATAGTGATGCTCAAAACAACATCACATCTCACAGCAATATGAGCGCTTTTGACCCATGATCTCCAATACGCTTCCCCATGTCATTTCCCCCGTTTTGCAGACCCGGAAATCGGGACACAAGGAAGTTAAATGGCTCTTCCAAGACGCTACCCTGAGTCTGTTCTCAGGTTGAAATGAAAAACCCAGAAATTGTGAATCCCATTTTGGTGCCGCAGCAGAGTGATGAGAATCATTGTTTGGGAAGAAAATATCCCCCTCTGCCTCATTCAGGATAAGTCCCATGGGATACAGAAATGTTAAAACCTGCTGTAAAAGCTGTAGCTGTCATCCCACAAAGTGTACAGGGGTAAGCCCAGGATTGCATGAAATGTACTATGCAAAATACAACCCCACACTCTAGAACAGCTGGCTGTGAACAGATCTGTAGCCTCCTGCTATGGACCACTTCAGAGTGGTGGGACAGGGGAAGAGCCAGACAAGCGCACCTAACATCTTCTGCAACAGCTGCTCTGGCTGGTTCAGGACTTCTGGGGAGAGCTGCGACAGGTCTTGTAAAGTCCACGTCTCAGTCCTTTAGCTGCAGTGGGGGTCCACGCAACTAGCACAGTGGGAGATGGAGCGGTGGAAGAGGAACTTTTATACCATTTTTTCCTTTCGAGACTTCGATCTGCTCTCATAATAGCTCTGTCTAGCAGAAGTCAACTCAGCGTCAGAGATTAGATGGCAGCAGCCTCTGAAGCACTTCTATTCAGTCTAAAGAGAATGGCCTGCCCTGGGGATGGGAGCAAAATTGCAAATTCCATCCAGTTACGGCTAGTTCAGAGCAAAAGGAATAACCGCTGCATAGCAACCTCTTCCTGTTCTTACGGAAGGCCTTTCCCATGACGATTGCTCCCTGGAGACTCTGAGTGAGCCAGGGCCTGTTGGAGAGAGAAGCCAGGGAGCAACGGTTTTACATGGCCACGGTTTCCACTCCAGGCATGGCGACTTTCCCGTTGCATTTCTGCATTGCTGGAGATATTTAGCTACTGGGCTAAACAGTATCTGTTGTAAAAGATATCCTTTTGCAAGGAAAAATGTGCAGTCCACTGATAGGACTGTCACATCGACTCCAATGGGCTTTCAGCTTGCGTTTCCTCCTCAGGCTCAAATTTACCTTCCTGCCAGTGTTACGGCAGTATCAGCCCTTTGATCTCAGTGGAGTCGCTCTCAACAGGACACAAGGGAGGGCAGACTGGAGAAGCAGAATGTTCCCCCAAACGACCTACTCCTTCTTTTAGGGAGACCACTGTAAGCAGAGACTTGAGAATCAGTGGTGTAAAGTCAGCATAGGCACAGCTAGAATACATATCCTATGTTGTGTTGGCTTCAAAAGCTTGGAGAAAGGATGGAAAATATCCTATTACACAAATACGTTACCTGGGGATAAAACACAGCTTCTTTCACCAAAAAAAACTTTCTAAATGTCGATTGGTATTCAATGTATAAGGCAACCAAAAGGGGGCAAAATGGTTACCATGACAATCCAGCCAGGTTTAAATTGCACTTTAAATGACAGGGTATTTATTATAGGTCAAGCTCTTCCCTGAACCGCATCAAGAACATAGTTGTTGTCTGAGGGACAAGTCAAAGCAGATCCTGTCTCTGTATTGCCACTGCTCTGAGGGAATAAACAAAGGAGCTAATCAAAACTCAGAGACATTGGTCTATATTCTGCTAACCTCCATTACGAGAGTTTTCCTTGGGGTCAACCTTCTTGCTCACGTGAGTACAGCACACAGGGTTTTAGCACAGGTAGCACCCATCTGTACGACTTGCTGAGTATTGGTCTTTTCTGTAAAGTAAAAGATTTTCTTTGGAAAAATATCTAGAAACTTCAACAGGTTTTTCTCTCTCTGTCTCCCAGGTATCCCACACAACCCTGTCGTTTTGGAAAACTCTTATTGCTTTTACCAGCTTTACGTTCCATTAGTCCATCTACAATAGAAGAAGTGTTTTTCAAAAAGACCATTGGGAATGTACCAATTACAAGACTGCTTTCAGATATGTACAAATCCAGTGACATATAAATTACCTTAAAAAAACCAATCAGGATGGACAGTTTGAGAAGAACTTTTATCTATGGAGAATAAGCCTCAACTAACAAAATCTACAGGAAGCATAAGCCTGGGAATGTTTAGCCTTTAAACCCATTGACAAAAAATACCCCAGTAGATATGATTCTGCTGCTCTGAACAGAGTGATTTAGATCATGGAGAGAATGCTTTGTTCTACAGAAAAAGTGAAAGTGGTTGGAATTTGGCTGCTATTCCTGTTACTACAGGATGGAGGCAATTCAGATGCCAGTCATAGTTAACAAAGACTCCACTATTCTTTCATTTAACTGGCACATCTGAGACAAAATGTGAAAGAAGGTACTTTGGTTCGTTCAGTATTTGGAACCGGGTGACCAAACTTGGCTTCTGTTGTAACGTGGGATGCGGTGGCCTTCAGAACTGTTTTAAAAGTAGCCTATGTTGGGAAAATGTTTTTAATATGATAGGCAACATTTAAGACCAGGTTACCAAAACATTGCTTCTGCTATAATACGTCATGAAGTGGCCTTCAGAACTGATTAAAAAGTAGCTTATGACGGCAGCTCCATTCTTCCTGCAAAATGAACTGGTGATCTTTGGTGCGGATGTCACCACAATTTGTTCGGTTAACATCTCAAAGACAGAAGAGCTTTATACACTTCCTCCCCAACCTTCCCTTTCTTCTTCCACACACACAGACACACATTCACATACACACCTGAAAAGACACAAGTCGAGAAAGGAAGACTAAAACAGCAAAACCAAATACAATGGAGATGACCGCTTCAGTGACCTGCTGGCTGTCCCGTTGGCACAGTGCTGAAACCAAAGGCAACGGCGGCCAAACTCTTTGTCAATGAGATGTGCAGAGAAGTGAAATGACTATAAAAAAAATCAACGGAAGGAACTTTATTTCAAAGAAATAAAGGTTGTTGACTGATACAATGCTAACAATTTCCAAAAGTCTCCAATGCCTTTTTAGAAAACTCCAGGTTCTAATTTTGAAGCCTTGTTTGCCTACACCCTCTCACACACAAAAATGTTATAAGCTGCTTATTTGATGTATGAAAAATGTAGAAAAAACATTTAAAGATAGCTGCTGTACTTTTCAAAATTTGATTTGTTATTAGGAACTAGCACTGAGAAAAATCAGCACTTGGACTATCATAGAATGAGTAAAACTTTTCCTGTACAAAGTGGATTAACTGATTTGTGAAGTTAAAAAGTTGTACTCATTGTATTTACAAAGAATAAAAATATATTGAATTTAAATTACTTTCCACTGTTCTTTTAATGCTTGTCCTTCTATTTCTGGATTAGTTTCTTCCACTGTACCCTACTTACCAGGGAACAGAAATATTCTCTAGTAAAATGGATTGCCTTGGATGCTGTGGAGTCTCCATCATCAGAGGTTTTAAAAAACAGGTTAGACAAACATTTAAGGAATAGCTTAGGTGATCCTGCCTTGGGGCAAAGGGACTTTGAAGTCCTGCAGAGAGCTGTTTTCTATAATTCAAATATACACCTGCTGTAAGGTTTCCTTCTCAAGGAGCTGACACAGAGCTTTTTCTAGGACACAATACTAAACGGATCAGAGGTCTAACCTAGTACAAGTCTTCTGTTTCATGTTATTACAATTTTAAATATCGGTGAATTGTGCAGCTAACAAAGGGTGATGAGTACAAAAACACTGCTTCAATTAAAAAGATTCTGAGGTTTTATTAAGGTGTCCAATTGTGTAATCACACCAAAGAAAGAGGTCAGCAACTCCCAGTGCACAGGAACAAGTTGGCAATAGGAGAAGGCAAATACAACTTATCGTTCATATGGCAATGAGTGACCAAAGAGCCGTGCACACTAAAATGACAGGAGGAAATGTACAGTGTATACCAATGGCTCATCGTTTTTCAGTGTCAAGGAATACAGATCACAAGTGAATTCGTAGCTCCATTGATTCCAAGCACAAAAATCGCACGCATTTCAGAGGTCAAAGTTTTCACCCCATCTCTCTTCCATCTATGCCGTTTGCTAGGTCTCACATGCTGCCCTTTCCAAGACAGCCAGACCATAAAGTAGACAAGACCATTCTTTTGATGAGTCGGGTGAGACAAGGCACGGACTACAGGACTTTGAAACATCTTCTATACAAACTAGCATGGAGCACTTGAGAATGCATTTACCACAGGGCATCGCACATTCTTAGAAAGAAACCAACAAACGCTTTATGAAGTGTTCTTACTGCACCTGTAATAACCTTCAACCATTTTCTGCTCTCTATGCTAAAAAGAACTGGACAGGGCAGAAAATTAATTGTGGCTTTCCACTCTGCGACAATTCAGTTTATGAGCTAAAGAAGTTGAACCTGCTGCTGTGCAGAACCCATGACAGAACACTCGTTTCACTAAGATTCATGCTGCTATCCTGGAGCAGCAATAAACATGAACTGCATGCATGCCGCAAGGCAACCGCACTCTGCAGTGTGCTGTAGTCCCTGTCCCTAGATCACCCGGGCTAGAGGATGCAGCAGAGTGTACTGGCTTTCTCCCAGCTGCAAAGCAGGCAGGGCAATGGGTGCACACCCATATCTCATCCTCTTACCTGCAGGACCTAGCCCAGCTGCAGAGCAGACTCACGAGCTGGGAACGATGCCCAGATCCCTGTGGCTTAGTCACAGCTAATCTCAGACCGCGTCTTCCTCCCAGTACTGCAGGTTGCACAGAAGCAGAACCAGTTACACTACACTAGAATTAGGGTCTCTAGTTAGCCTTGAAGGACTGAAGGCCAGGTGAAATCCCAGAGTCCAGTGCAGATGTCCTGTCAATCTCAGAGGTTAACACTCTAAAGTCCTCAGTTTGGAAATAGGAATACTTTGACATCAAGCATGCAGCTTTTCCCTCTTCAGCTTCTTTTTTTTTTCCACAGCAGATGATACAGATTGTGTGATCGTCTTTTAGGGATAAGATAGGGCATTTACTCTGATTTCTGAAAGAAGCTTCTCTCAGAAAAGAACATTTGAGAAAAGAAAAAGAACACCTTACTACGTATCTAAACCTAAATAATAGAACTTCATATACATTTAGCCCTTCTTTCCCCATTTCCAAGAGTAACTCAACTTTTACGTGTGATTCAACAAGCACAGGGAATTTTAGATTTGATTTTACATTATCAAAAACTTCTTGAAAAGCTAGCCTGTGTTGAAAAGCTAGACAGCTATGGGCTGCAAGTGGGCTCTGTCAGTTTTGGTCCCTGGTTTCATGAATAGGACTGTTGGAAAATTCAGCACAGTCTTTAAGTATGAGGGGGAAAGAGCAATTATTTGAGCATCTAACTATTCAGCGTAGCTAGTCACTAGTACTACATATAATCCAGTCAGCCACCACTGTTTTGTCAGTTCAATCTTTTACAACCAGATTTCCAAAAATGAGGTGAATGGTCTTAGTTAAAGGAAACTAAACAACTTTGCCAGTAAGTTTGTAGGACGTTCTTGACGGTGATACGGAGTATTTTAAGAAGAAAAAAGCAGCAAAGCCAAGTCTAAGTCAACATGTACTGTTACCAAATAGCACAAAACACTGGATCAGATTGCTTACTAGAGTGTTCTTGAATCTGTTTTCAAGAGCATCTGGATAGGTAACTCCCATGTCACACTTGGAAGCACTAAGGAAGCTTCTCCAGCCATAGAAGCATCTAGTGAGAAAGACGACTTCAGCACTGCTGCTTGTGAACTGCAGTTCAGGCATCAACCACCTGCATTTCACCAGTGGTCATACAAGCACAATGCTACAGCTTCCCCTTCCTTTAACGTTCAGGGAAGTGGTCTGTGATCACATCTTATAGTGGGCTTGTATGATTTCATGTCCCTAATTGTAGTTGTAGAGCAGAGCTACTTTAACCTAGGACTGAAGTTATAATATATTACAGGTTATGCCAACATTCCTTCCTCTGTAGGATGGTATAATTTTCACTTGCTAGTTGAAGCTAGATTGATGCTTCTCATGCCAAGTAGAAAGGTACTCTTTTCCCAAACATATTGAAGCCACAGATCTGTTGACTACCTGCCTACCATGAATGGGGTTCTAGCTTTGGCTCCACAACACAGGAATAGCCTTCAATACCTTTATATGTTCTTTAACACTTGAGCAGCAAGTGCCAACACCTAAGGGTATTCAGTGCTGGCTGTTAGTAACACAAGACTACACTGCAGAAGAGCATCACAGCAAGGCTGAAACACCAGTTCACTTAGTATAGTCAAGTCCCTGCTTCTCAGAAAGCATGAGATACCCCACACTCAAGGTCAAGAGTGACAAAACATTTGAAGTGCATTTTCACTTTTATTTCAAAACTTTAGTATATAAATTTGATTTTTTCCTCTTACAGAATATAAAGATAATTCCCTCATTACTTCAGTATAAAGTGTTTTACAAGCTTGAAGACAATTGCATAAGTGTTTCTCGCACAGGGTATCAGAAATAAAGCAGTCTTTCTACAGAAGTTCAGACAGATGACTACCTCAGAAACAGCATAGCAGTTTAGTCAAATACAAGTGAACACGTGACACTACAATTGTGCAAGTTCAAGTAAGGCCAAGTCAGTAAACATTATTAAGTCATTGCAAATAAGAGTGGAAAGGTTTGTGAGACATTGCAAGGGGTGGATAGTCTCATAGTATAATACTCTTAAATCAAGGATTCAGAGGGATTTAGCTAGAAGACAAGTGAGTTCTTTAATGCTATAAAGCATATGCAAAGACCAAGCAGTGTACTGATGTTAGTGGAGACTTCGTGCCTGTTTATCCTCAGCATGCTAAGACAAACTACAACCTCTTAGAACCAAGCATAAGAACCACTAATGTTTGAGAAGATGGTTTCAGAACTCAAGTATGTCTTATTTTGGATGGTGTGTAGTTTTTGTCTATTACTTCATCTTGTAAGAACATGTGAAGACAGCGCTCGTTCTGTGCCAGTGGGTGGCCTGCAACCCTGGAGAGGAAAAAACAAGCATTAGTGCTAACAAATCAAGTCTACTTGCAGCTAGCCAGCAGAGCAAGGTTTTATATCAATAAATGCACTTAGGCATAGATCCCACTTCCAGTTCACTGTTGGTGACTAGAATGATGCTGGGCAGCAAGATTTGTCATTCTTCCCCAGATGAAGCTAGTCCATAGGAACCCTGAGCTACCTCTGATCATTTGGAAGCATGGTTGTTGCAGTTTAACCTGCAGAGCAAGGTTTTATATCAATAAATGCACTTAGGCATAGATCCCACTTCCAGTTCACTGTTGGTGACTAGAATGATGCTGGGCAGCAAGATTTGTCATTCTTCCCCAGATGAAGCTAGTCCATAGGAACCCTGAGCTACCTCTGATCATTTGGAAGCATGGTTGTTGCAGTTTAACCCGGCAGGCAGCTAAACACCACACAGCCGTTCGCTCACTTCCCCCCCTACAGTGGGATGGGGGAGAGAATCAGAAAAAAGGTAAAACTCATGGGTTGAGATAAGGACAATTTAATAGGACAGAAAACAACAGGAAAAATAATAATGATAGAAGAATATACAAAACAAGTGATGCACAATGCAATTGCTCACCACCCACTGACCGATGCCCAGCCAGTTCCTGAGCAGCAGCCACACACCCCCAGCCAAGTCCACACAGTATTTTTCTTCAGCATGACATCACATGGTGTGGAATGTCCCTTTGGCCAGTTTGGGTCAGCTGTCCTGGCTGTGTCCCCTCCCAGCTTCCTGTGCACCTCCAGCCTTCTCAGCTGGTAGAGCACGAGAAACTGAAAAGTCCTTGACTAGTGTAAACACTACCTAGCAACAACTAAAACATCGGTGAGTT